ATCAAATAAACCGCACCTTCCGCGACGCGAATTTTAACGATTTTCTTCTGACACAATCATGGTGCCCCAACAATATTGGTGTTATTTTAAAGTCAAATAAATATCCTTAAAGAAAAACACATTTAATTTCTCAATAAATGATTAACATACACCATAAATGTGACTTGAAAAAATACCTCACTTTGGGCCCACCTATGGGATCAATTAGACCAATTTTTATGGTTATAAAACCAAATAATGATCTTACGTGTCCTCTTTAACAGATGGATAGCGATTAATCCCAACTTAACAGTTTTATAGCCATAAAACTTGGCTCTAGCGTAACTACCTATTTTTTGAAGAAGTGACTCTGGATCCTTCTAAAGACACATTTTTGTGGTAAAAACCTTTCCTCTAATGAAATGAAGGTTAGAACTAGGCTTTTAAATGGTGCCAATATTGGTGAGAAGTGGGGATGCATACGTTTTAAAATGCTTGTCGCGGGAGGTGCGATTTATTTGATGTCGAGTGTAGTTCGTGACACCTAAAGTGGCCAAAAAGTTGACAACACAACTTTATTCTAATTGTAATAAAGACGTGTTGCGAACTTTTTGGCTACTTTGGGTGTCAGAAAGTATTTGATGTTGTCTGTACATCATCATAAGAGTTGATCTTTGTAAAATTACAAACATTTCACGGACGCGCTCGGCAGACCAGTAATATCAGAGTACATATCCATTCTAACAAAAATATATTAATTTATATAGAGACTAATACTATGAATCATCTCACTACGGTTACAAGTTTACGACATTGTGCCCTAAGCCTTGTAATGATCATAAGAATACAAATAACATAATATTGAGCCCATTCCATACACTAGCAAGCTCTTGCAGACATCAAGCATCGATCAATTATAAAATAATTAAATTATTACAATAATGGTTTATTATAAACTTAATGCAATTTAATTTTACTAAATTAAAAACTAATACGTGTCTTTAGACACGCTAGAATATATTATTACAGATGCGAAGAATAATTTGTAGCGTTTTATGTACAGTAAAAAAGATTTTGTATTATTATTACTTTGATATTGGAGAAAATATTTCTGTAACGCGTTTAGTATTTTTACATCGATACAAAATATTCTGGGCATCGTCATCATAATCTATCGATTGAATATAAAATAGATCAATGAGTAATTAATGTTATAGTATTATATTACAATCACATCAGTCTCGATTACAATTTATTAAACAATAACAGCTAGCGAACCCTCGCGTTTGTTCTATCGCGCAAACAATATTTAAATAACGACATAAGAATAATTCGTACACGATTAAGTAAGAATAGTTTTTTAGAAATTATTTCCGATTAGCTGCTGGATATTTTTCATTTCACTTATTGTATGAGAAGTAAAAAACTAAGCTTAACAACAACAAAGTGAATAATGATGCAATCTGAAGTGCCACGACACAATTTCATGCTAGAACTTCATCGTATGTAAACACTTCCGACTTAGTTCGACTCATCGTAGCTGTTTACAGTGACGGCATCATCATGACAAACAAATTCAAGTACAAGTTATAAGTAGATAAAATTTAAGAAACAAATCAATTTCATAGATAACACGCGCCAAATCATTAACAAATAATAACGACAAAAATATAACACTTCCTATATCACACCAACATTATTTTTGCTTACAAATACATTAATATATTTGAATCTCCCACTATTCTCATAAGATGGAATGCAATTTTAGTCGTAGCAAGTAGAAAAAGTGAGGTACTGTGAAGGTATAGATTGAACAACTATTTCATATAAATGACTGTATAGGAGTTTAGATAAAAGGTTTGGGTAATGCAATATTGCGTTTTTGTCACGATTGAATGAATGATATTGATAATGGTCTGGGTTATGCGGCCAAAACTAGATAATTAATTTTTAATATCTGGTTTATGTATAGAATTATCACATTCAATAGGCCAACATGTCTAAATATTTGTATCTCTTATTTGAGAGTTGTGTGTATTTAATAATTTAGTCCTTTAAATATTTTCACCGTAATCTGTTACCAAATAATATTCTCATATCACTCTTGACAATTTGGATACGTCCACGCCTCTATTGATTGAGCAACATTTTTGTCAGTATAGCAGCAACCTTGCGTAATACAGCAAGCTATCTATGATAACATTACAAGCATTCATTCCTCGTGGTTCTGGTCCTAAGAATGTTGAAGCATCCGACATTAATTTCTCACACATATCCAGTTTTTGAGCACCCGACATATTTCTCCCATATGCATGCAGTTGAGCAAAATGTCACTCTATTAGTCCCCCAATGTATCGAGAACTGCATTACGTTACCGTATTACATGACTACGTTGCCTGGCTATTGTGGAAAGGACTTGTGAGCGAACAAGTCCTCCAACCATAAAGTTAATATTCCTTTGGAATAGAGCAACAACCACGAGCTGTCAAATGAAACCGATTTTAAGAGATCACTTGTGTGTCAATTTTCAGCATAATTTCAATCACTGAACCAGTCACCACGTTTCTGAAGCACTAAGTATATCTGATAATTGATAAACATCCGCGATTTCACGGAAAATCTGAAAAAATCGTAGAGCTCAAATTTTCAGCGTGTCAATGAGTGGTAATGAACTGTCAAATAGTTGCAACAAACGGTTCTGTTACGTCGCATCACGTCTCTTTTTATCACACAGTGTTGCTGCTAGTGGCATCTCTGTGCGGTGGAGCGTCGTGGCTCACGTGGTCCTTAACAAAGCGTCCAACACGACGAGTAGTACGGTGTGTCGTGGCTACAAAGTCCTCAACAAGGTCTCGAGTAGCCGTCGCGCGGTGGAGTGTCGTGGCTTACGTGTTCCTCAACAAGGCGTTCAACACGACGTGGAGTGTTGTGGCTCACAAGGTTCTCAACAAGGCTTCCAGCAGTCGTCGTGCGGTGCAGTGTCGTAGCTCACGTGTTTCTTAACAAGGCGTCCAATATGACGACGTGCAGTGCGGCGCGTAATGTCGTGGCTCACATGTTCAAAAGGCGTCCAACACGACGAGCAGTGTGGTGCAATGTCGTGGCTCACGTGTTGCTTAACAAGGCGTCCAACACGACGTGCAGTGTCGTCGCTCACGTGTTCCGTAACAAGGCGTCGACCAGTCGTGCTGTGGAGTGCCGTGTCGTAGCGCGGTGTGTCGTGGATCACAAAGTCCTCAACAAAGCCTCGAGCAGTCGTCGCGCGGTGGAGTGTCGTGTCGTGTCGCGTGTGGGCTCACATGAGCGCGCAGGCTCGCGGCATATCGGGGTCGTCGGCGTCGGGCGGCGCGCGCGCGGGCGGCGGGCCCACCACCTCCGGCAGATACTTGTCGTATCTGTGCATGAACATGACTTAAATTACTATTTTTAAAATATCTCCCCATTTTTTCAGTTAACACCCTCGTTATTAACCGAACTTTATACAATTAAGGCTTGGGCAGACCAAACGCGAGGCAGTAGTAGCGCAGTTAGAATGCGAGCCCGCGCAAGTTGTAATACAAGAAACTCTTTGAAGTGTGTCACACCAAATTTGAACGTGGGCCCGCGCTCCAACTGCGCCGCACTGCAACTGCAGAACAGTGCGGGACAGAAGCGGAGCGAACGCGGGCCCGCGTTGCTCCTGCGCTGCTTTCAGTGTGCCTCAACCGCGCTGCAACTGACCCGCGTTTGGTCTGTGGAAGCCTTTAGGGTTTAAACTTATTCTTCATCATGACAGGACTTACTTACCATCGAATATGCTGTCAGAGTGGCGTGTCACGACATGTGTCATAATATGTCACGTAAAGTTATTTCGTATCTCGTCGTTTGATATCGCGTTCCGTCGAATACCTTTTTTTAATATCCATCGCTGTGGTCAGGCGACGAGTTATGTGGGGCTCTGCTTCAGAAAGGAGGGGGCTACCCACTAAAATCCACCAATGTCCTTCTTTCTGAGCACGGACAACTAATAAGCGATTTCAACTTTTGAACGAATTTTGTCCAATGACCGCAAGCTACCCATCCTTATCGCTCGTGCGTAATTATATTGCTGTCGCGACTGTGCGACGCGCGTCCGCAGTGAGTGTGCGAGTGCGACAGCAACATGATTATACGCGAGCAATAAGTATGTAGCTTGGGGTCATTGGACAAAATTCTACGTGCTCACAGACCAGACTATATAAATAAAATTATACCTGAGCCCCTGGCGCTCGTAGAACAGCAGGTAGGCGGCGGCGGGGTCGATGGCGCGGCGCGGGTCCACCTCGCGGCAGGAGCTGTCGTTGTAGCACAGCCAGGCGCCTGATGGGTTTCGCGCGTATGCTACGTAGTGCCCGCCGCTTAATTGACCCGAGTGCGACTGAAGAAGAAACGATAGTGTTGTTAATTTCATAGTAGTGGGAGAGTGGGACAAAAATAAGTGTAAATGGAAGGCAGAAGGACCCCTCACACTAGTGCAGCAACGCTAATACTGAGCGGATGTCGAACGCGCTTTGTAGATTCGGCGTTCAGCACGCGCCGCGTCGACGTACTAATGTCCGGTCGCCGAGCAGATAAAATTTCGTCCAATGACCCCAAGCTACCCACCCATCCTTATCGCTCGCGCGTATATTGCTGTCGCGACTGTGCGACGCGCGCCCGCAGTGAGTGTGCGAGCGCAATAGCGATATCTCACACACTGACTGCGGCCGCCCGTCGCACGGTAACTTGGGGTCATTGGACGAAATTCTCTGTGCTCGGCGATCGGACTATAAAGGATGCTTGATAGATTAATGATTAAANGCTGGCTTTGGTATACAGGAGAACAGGAAACAATGGCACGGAGCATGCTGACATTACTGACGCTCGTCGTATAACTTATGTTCGCGTAACATAAAAATATATACATACATGCCTTAATGTAACATTAATTCAATAACGGCTGCGCTCAAAATCGTGCTTTCAATGCTGCCTAAACCCTGACATAAGGTCTAGGTTTGATTTCAAACGACGTTTGCGTTACGAGCCATTCCCTGTGTCGCACCATCACACTGCCGAGCGCGCCTGTACGTGGTACAGTCATCATCAAATAATTCGTGACACCTAAAGTGGCCAAAACACTCCGAAGGGATCCCGATCACATCCCCAAGCAGGCTCTGGATTGGAACCCCCAAGGAAAACGCAAACGTGGTCGCCCCAACTTTATTCCAGTTGTAATAAAGACGTGTTACAGTTGCGAACTTTTTGGTTAATTTGGGTGTCAGAAAGTATTTGATGTTGTCTGTACATCATCATGAGAGTTGATCTTTGTAAAATTACAAACATTTCACGGACGCGCTCGGCAGACCAGTAATATCAGAGTACATATCCATTCTAACAAAAATATATTAATTTATATAGAGACTAATACTATGAATTATCTCACTACGGTTACAAGTTTACGACATTGTGCCCTAAGCCTTGTAATGATCATAAGAATAAAAATAACAAATATTGAGCCCATTCCATACACTAGCAAGCTCATGCAGACATCAAGCATCGATCAATTATAAAATAATTAAATTATTACAATAATGGTTTATTATAAACTTAATGCAATTTAATTTTACTAAATTAAAAACTAATACGTGTCTTTAGACACGCTAGAATATATTATTACAGATGCGAAGAATAATTTGTAGCGTTTTATGTACAGTAAAAAGATTTTGTATTATTATTCCTTTGATATTGTAGAAAATATTTCTGTACCTAATACATATTGTATTTTTACATCGATACAAAATATTCTGGGCATCGTCATCATAATCTATCGATTGAATATAAAATAGATCAATGAGTAATTACTGTTATAGTATTATATTACAATCACATCAGTCTCGATTACAATTTATTAAACAATAACAGCTAGCGACCCCTCGCGTTTGTTCTATCGCGCAAACAATATTTAAATAACGACATAAGAATAATTCGTACATGATTAAGTAAGAATAGTTTTTAAGAAAATTATTTCCGATTAGCTGCTGGTAAATATCCGATAGCGATATTTTTTATTTCACTTAGGTATTGTACGAGAAGTGAAAAACTAAGCTTAACAACAACAAAGTGAATAATGATGCAATCTGAAGTGCCACGACACAATTTCATGCTAGCACTTCATCGTATGTAAACACTTCTGACTTAGCTCGACTCATAGTTGTTTACAGTGATAGCATCATCATAACAAACAATTTCAAGTACAAGGTAAGTAGATAAAATTTAAGAAACAAATCAATTTCATAGATAACACGCGCCAAATTATTAACAAATAATAACGACAAAAATTAACACTTCCTATATCACACCAACATTATTTTGCTTACAAATACATTAATATATTTGAATCTCCCACTATTCTCATAAGATGGAATGCAATTTTAGTCGTAGCAAGTAGAAAAAGTGAGGTACTGTGAAGGTATAGATTGAACAACTATTTCATATAAATGACTATATAGGAGTTTAGATAAAAGGTTTGGGTAATGCAATATTGCGTTTTTGTCACGATTGAATGAATGATATTGTTATTGGTCTGGGTTATGCGGTTAAACTAGATATATGTATCTGGTTTATGTATAGAATTATCACATTCAATAGGCCAACATGTCTAAATATTTGTATCTCTTATTTGAGAGTTGTGTGTATTTAATAATTTAGTCCTTTAAATATTTTCACCGTAATCTGTTACCAAATAATATTCTCATATCACACTTGACAATTTGGATACGTCCACGCCTCTATTCCTTAAAAAGACAGTCCTCGTGATTGAGCAACATTTTTGTCAGTATAGCAGCAACCTTGCGTAATACAGCAAGCTATCTATGATAACATTACAAGCATTCATTCCTCGTGGTTCTGGTCCTAAGAATGTTGAAGCATCCGACATTAATTTCTCACACATATCCAGTTTTTGAGCACCCGACATATTTCTCCCATATGCATGCAGTTGAGCAAAATGTCACTCTATTAGTCCCCCAATGTATCGAGAACTGCATTACGTTACCGTATTACATGACTACGTTGCCTGGCTATTGTGGAAATGATGTTCGCGCTTACAAATCCTCCAACGGTAAAGATGATATTCCTTCGGAATAGAGCAACAACCACGAGCTGTCAAATGAAATCGATTTTAGGATGTCACTGGATGTCATTTTTGAGTCAGTTTTCAGGATTATTTTAGTTTCAATCATTGAACCAGTCACCACGTTTCTGAAGATCTAAGTATATCTGATAAACATCCACGATTTCACGTATAACCTGAAAAAATCTTAGAACTCAAATTTTTAGTTTGCCAATGAGTGCTAATGAACTGTCAAATAGTTGCAACAAACGGTTCTGTTACGTCGCATCACGTCTTTTTTTATCACACAGTGTTGCTGCTAGTGGCATCTCGCTCGCTCAGTCCTTTGTTGCTGTATTCCGCTGGATGTATCAACTTTATGCTCCCAACACGACGTGCAGTGCTGTGGCTCACATGGTCTTCAATAAGAGCTTCCAGCAGTCGGCGCGCGGTGCAGTGGCGCGCGGTACAAGGCGTCCAAAACGACGTCACGAGCAGTGCGGTGTAGTGCCGTGGCTCACTTGGCCTCAACAAGGCCTCGATCAGTAGAGCTACTCCGAAACACTATTTACGTAGTTTCGGGTCTATCTGTCACAGTCGCTCATGCTGGCATTTCGCTTTGTATGAGAGGGATGGCAACATTCGAAACATCGGATAACGTTACTCGGAGTAACCCCGCAGTCGTGCGGTGCAGTGTCGTGGCTCACGTGTTCCTTAACAAAGCGTCCAACACGACGAGCAGTGCGGTGTAGTGTCGTGACTCACATGCTCCTCAACAAGGCTTCCAACAGTCGTCGCGCGGTGCAGTGTCGTGGCTCACATGGTCTTCAACAAGGCCTGGACCAGTCGTCGTGCGGTGTAGTGTTGTGGCTCACATGGTCCTCAACAAGGCTTCTACCAGTCGTCGTGCGGTGCAGTGTCGTGGCTCACGTGTTCTTCAACAATACGTCGAACACGACGACGTGCAGTGCGGCGCGTAATGTCGTGGCTCACATGTTCAAAAGGCGTCCAATACGACGAGCAGTGTCGTGGCTCACGTGGTCCTCAACAAGGCGCCGAGCAGTCGTCGTGCTGTGGAGTGTCGTGTCGTGTCGCGTGTGGGCTCACATAAGCGCGCAGGCTCGCGGCATATCGGGATCGTCTGCGTCGGGCGGCGCGCGCGCGGGCGGCGGGCCCACCACCTCTGGTAGGTACTTGTCGTATCTGTGGATACACGTTATTGAAATTGAAATTGAAATTAAAAAAAAAATATTGTCAGACCGGGGTCCATAATCGTCTCAGTAACAATTTTCACTTAGCCTATGTTCATCATCATCATCNGGCATGGCACAGAAGTGTGGTGATACTTTTTTTCAAAAAAGGCGACAAAACCTTGTTGAAAAATTATAGACCCATCTCACTTCTGAGCCATGTCTACAAGCTCTTTTCGAGAGTCATTACGAATCGTCTCGCTCGCAGGCTCGACGACTTCCAGCCTCCCGAACAAGCCGGTTTCCGAAAAGGCTTTAGTACCATAGACCACATACATACGCTACGGCAGATTATACAGAAGACCGAGGAGTATAATCAGCCACTTTGTCTGGCGTTTGTGGACTATGAAAAAGCCTTCGACTCGATCGAGACCTGGGCAGTGCTACAGTCTCTCCAACGGTGCCAAATTGACTATAGATACATCGAAGCGCTGAAGGGCTTGTACGAAAACGCCACAATGTCGGTCCGCCTCCAGGATCAGAACTCGAAACCTATCCAGTTGCAGCGAGGGGTGAGACAGGGAGATGTCATATCTCCGAAACTGTTCACCACCGCCCTGGAAGATGTTTTCAAGCTTCTGGACTGGAGCGGATTCGGCATAAATATCAACGGCGAGTATATCACCCACCTTCGTTTCGCGGACGATATCGTAGTCATGGCTGAGACCGTGGAGGACCTAAACACAATGCTCGATGGCCTCAGTAGAGCCTCTCAACAAGTGGGTCTTAAAATGAACATGGACAAGACAAAAATTATGTCAAATGCCCGTGTTGTACCCACTCCTCTGAAGGTTGGAGACACTACACTCGAAGTTGTTGACAATTATGTATACCTGGGACAAACAGTCCAGTTAGGTAGGTCCAACTTCGAGAAAGAGGTTAATCGTCGAATCCAACTCGGCTGGGCAGCGTTCGGGAAGCTTCGCGAAATTCTCACGTCCGAAATACCGCAGTGTCTCAAGTCAAAAGTATTTGACCAGTGTGTGTTGCCAGTGATGGTGTATGGCTCTGAGACGTGGTCGCTTACTATGGGCCTCATAAGAAGGCTCAAGGTCACCCAAAGAGCGATGGAGCGTGCTATGCTCGGAGTTTCCCTGCGTGATCGAATCAGAAATGAGGAGATCCGTAGGAGAACCAGAGTGACTGACATAGCCCGCAGAATCGCTAAAATCAAGTGGCAGTGGGCGGGGCACATAGCTCGAAGAGCTGATGGCCGCTGGGGCAGGAAAGTTCTTGAGTGGCGACCACGAGCCGGGAGACGTATCGTGGGCAGGCCTCCCACTAGGTGGACCGACGATCTGGTGAAGGTCGCGGGAGGTACCTGGATGCAAGCGGCGCAGGACCGGTCTTTGTGGAAATCCTTGGGGGAGGCCTTTGTCCAGCAGTGGACGTCTTTCGGCTGAAACGAACGAACGAAGAGAAATGACTACATTTTAAAATAAGTTTTTTAGCCAAGAGAGCGTTGACGTTGTGGTGCGTCACTGCAGCGACGCCGCAGCGACACCGCGTCCGCACGTCAGATTAAACGGAGCGGTACCCCAACGCAACGCAATATCAGAATAAATACAAATGTGTAGGTCATCTTCATAGAAACGCACGGGCGCGGTTTGTATGTGAGCGCGCTAACACGTATGCTGCGCGCACGCACACACTGACAAAATTTAACGGGGATTAGCGGGGAGCCAGTCGTGCTTGCGCCGAATTTTATCAGTGTATGCGTGCGCGCCGCATACGTATATTGGCGCGCTCACATAAAAACCGCGCTCGGTGCGTTTCTATGAAGATGACCTACTCATTTGTATTTACTCTGGTTACATGTTCAAATAAGTTCTTTTGAGCTAACACAATCATTACCAAACTCCATAAAATGAAGGATTTCTTCGAGATAAAAATTTACTTGAAAAGTCATAGACGAGTAAGTTGATTGCCATAACGGCGATTAAGATGTGTGTGGAAAAGATGTATTGATTGATTACAAAAGATGCGACTGCGCTGTTGTTCCAAAATTATGCCATAATCCTATTTTACTTCATTAAGCATGTGTTCATGGGAAGAATAGGGATGTTTCCTGGGTCAAAAAGCAAGAGTTTTAATTAGTCCGTCAGTTAACTTATCAAAAAATACTCTACACGTATTTTTCACTTTTTAAAACTAATGAATATTTAAAGAGATAAAGCGCGCCAAAGTTCATAAGAAGAGGCCCGTGACGTCAATGCTTGCATAAAAGTGCCGCACGTTGTGACGTCGTGCGGAACTTCAACGCACCATAACTATGTAATTATTTGTTAGATTGACAAATAAAAATATGTGTCCAATATTTTTTGATATTAAACATGACGGACTAAAAAATTTTTTTTAGGAAACTAGCCTATTACCATCGACAATGCTTTCAGAGTGACATGTCATGACATGTGTCATACGTCACGTGAAGTTACATTGCATCATGTTGTTTTTCACCTAGGACAGCAGGTTAGCTCGCTTATTAATAGAGCTCGCGGCAGGAGCTGTCGTTGTGTCCAGCCTGTGACGTCACTGTGTGCGAGCACGCTACCTGAGCCCCTGGCGCTCGTAGAACAGCAGGTAGGCGGCGGCGGGGTCGATGGCGCGGCGCGGGTCCACCTCGCGGCAGGAGCTGTCGTTGTAGCCAGCCTGTGACGTCACTGTGTGCGAGCACGCTACCTGAGCCCCTGGCGCTCGTAGAACAGCAGGTAGGCGGCGGCGGGGTCGATGGCGCGGCGCGGGTCCACCTCGCGGCAGGAGCTGTCGTTGTAGCACAGCCAGGCGCCGGACGGGTTGCGTGCGTATGCTACGTAGTGCCCGCCGCTTAGTTGGCCCGAGTGAGACTGAAGAAGAAACGATACTGTTGTTAATATCATAGTAGTGGGAGAGTGGGACAAAAATAAGTGTAAATGGATACAGGCAGAAGGACCCCTAACACTAGTGCAGCAACGCTAATACTGAGCGGATGTCGAACGCGCTTTGTAGATTCGGCGTTCAGCACGCGCCGCGTCGACGTACTAATGTCCGGTCGCCGAGCAGATAAAATTTCGTTCAATGACCCCAAGCTACCCATCCTTATCGCTCGCGCGTATATTGCTGTCGCGACTGTGCGACGGGCGCCTGCAGTGAGTGTGTGAGCGCAATAGCAATATCTCGCACACTGACTGCGGCTGCCCGTCGCACGGTAACTTGGGGTCATTGGACGAAATTCTATGTGCTCGGCGATCGGACTATAAAGCTTGATAGATCAATTATTAACCGAAACGAATTAAAAGTGCAAGAGATCGTGCTTTTGTGGCGTTCTTTGGGGGATGTTTACGTCCAGCGGCGGCGCGTAGTCCGCCACAGCAGGCCTACTCTAAAACGCTATTTACGTAGTTCTGGTCTACCTGTCACCTTCGCTCATGCTGGCATCTCGCTTTACGTTATAGGGAAATGTTTTTTTATCCACAACGAGGAAGCTCTTGGTCTGTATCTCACCTGATGGTAGGTGATGATCAGGCCGAAGGTGGAAGCGAACGTTTTTTAGAGTAACTCCGCAGATGTCACGCTGGTTTCATATTATCGAGCGTGACGTCACTCACCATCACGGCGTAGAGGTTGTAGCGCAGGCGGAAGGGGTCGGTGCCGGGCTGCAGGCGGCGCGCGTGGGGCCTGGTGTGACGTCACTCACCACCACGGCGTAGAGGTTGTAGCGCAGGCGGAAGGGGTCGGTGCCGGGCTGCAGGCGGCGCGCGTGGGGCCTGGTGTGACGTCACTCACCACCACGGCGTAGAGGTTGTAGCGCAGGCGGAAGGGGTCGGTGCCGGGCTGCAGGCGGCGCGCGTGGGGCCTGGTGTGACGTCACTCACCACCACGGCGTAGAGGTTGTAGCGCAGGCGGAAGGGGTCGGTGCCGGGCTGCAGGCGGCGCGCGTGGGGCCTGGTGTGACGTCACTCACCACCACGGCGTAGAGGTTGTAGCGCAGGCGGAAGGGGTCGGTGCCGGGCTGCAGGCGGTGCGCGTGGAAGTCCTGCAGGTCGTCGTCGGCCACGGGCGCTACCGCTAAACTGGCCGACTGCAGGCGAGCCCGCCGACCACGCTCAAGTGAGGCACGTCGCTTGGCTGCCATCTGCGCCTAGCGGAGTAAATGGATGCTCATAAAAACACATAAAACTCATTTATTTATGCAAGTAGGCTTTTAAAAAGCACTTTTACCGTCCCAGTATTAACCCTACCACTGCTTCAGGACAATAAATGGGCCAGTGCTGAAGGCAGTGTTATGGAACCGTACATTATAGTCAGCACGAAGACACCGGGTTGCAAAAGGAGACTGCAGAGCGCGAACGCAAGGATGATCCTCGCTCTAACGACGGAGGGAACAGAAGAAGCAAAAGCAACAGTATTTATCGCCTTTTGTTTCCTTTCTCGAGCGTGCAGTAGGGCCATTCATAGGACTGGTAGTTGAAGGCTTTGTCCAAATTCCCAAAGTTTCTCTCATTTAAGGTGTGTAAAGCCACACCAGGATTACTTTAATGGGCATTCCTCGTCCTTCTGAATAGACAATTATCCCACATTATCTGTCCTACCCCCCGCAGATTTTTATTACAAATTATTACGAGTATTATTGTTTCTAAACTGGACTAACCAAAAAAGATTTCTTCAGTTTGTATTGAACCTAAAGTAAGGTAGCTACAAACGTATCTTACCTTGCTCTTCTGCTTCGGCGGCTGGCTGTCATCCTTCGCCTCCTCCCCTTTGTCATCCTCATCCTCACTGTCCTCGCTCTCCGTGATCGCATCCCCCACATCCATAAACAACGACGCTCTCCTCTCAGTCAGCTCTCTATGCCTGAGGATGGTTTCCTTGGGCACGGACGCAAGGAACTCAGTCGGGTCGAAGTCTTCGAACGGGAAGTTCACCACCTTTTGTGATTTGATCCACTTGTTGTTGACGTACTGGAACCGCTTTAGGTGGATTATCTGGAAGCGGAAATGGCTGGTGAAGTTTGGGTAAGGAGAAATGTGATATAAATAGCTGATGTCGCTACGTGATGGGATGGGTTAGAGAAACATAGCGTTTTTTAGAATATTATCTCTTTGATTGAAGAATGATACGCTTGTAGTCTAGTGTTTTTATAATGCTGTGGACAGTTTACACGTGACGGTGTTGTATACACGTGACATATGCTTTAGTATACACGCGACGTGTGCTGTATACACGTGACGGATGATGTATACACGCGACGTGTGCTGTATACACGTGACGGGTGCTGTATACACGTGACGGGTGCTGTATACACGCGGCTGCATACGTACGAGCACGGGCGGCGCGCGCCACAGCTGCAGCGCCTTGCTGGCGGGCTGGTGCGAGCGGCAGGCGAGGCAGTGGTAGGGCTGCTCCAGGCGCTCGTCGCTGGTGAAGGCTCGCAGGCACGAGGCCAGGTCCACGGCCGCCGCCGCCGCGCCGCACTCGCTCACCGACGGGTGCTCGATCCACGCCTGACGACAATAGAGTATTGGTGATATTCTGGTTGCTGGTTCATGAGCTAAAGTCCGGTCGCCGAGCAGATAGAATTTCGTCCGATGACCCCAAGCTGTACATTCACTGCGGCCGCCCGTCGCACAGTCGCGAGCGATAAGGATGGGTAGCTTGGGGTCATTGGACGAAATTCTATCTGCTCGGCGACTGGATTTTAAATGACAATGATTCGAGCTACTACATTCCCTAATATTTGGACATTCCAGGAAGGCTATTGAAAGTATTCCAAACCTATGGCTGTAGCCTCTGTTGATACAACACTTCTGAGCTGAATGGAGATAAGCAAGATTCCCCAGACCGGCAATGTTTCTTGCAACGTTCCCTAATATTCTTAGGAAATCCTAGGTGCGCTGCTTGCAATGCGGGAAGGTCTGTTATCAGTGGCAGGCACATCGCTAATGATGCTACAGTCAATGCAGTGTAAACAGTGCTGGCTATCAATTTCCATCTCGTCTTCACCGCTGCAACTTCTGTGTATCTAAATACCCATCTAGTAAAGTGTTCTAGCTTTTTTTATTTCCCCGCAATCGCACCTAGTGTTAAATAAGATACAGTCTAGGGTGGTACATATCTGCCCTGTAAGTGCCTTTCATTCACTCCCGCCTTGAAATAGTCCGGATTATAATGTAAAGAAAGCAGCAGACAGCGAATTCCAGTCCCTAGCTGTTCGCATTATAAAAGAGTTAACGAAACGCTTAGTGCGAGCTGGTGGAATGTCAACTTCTGTGTAGCCAGGATTTAAAGGCCAATCAAGTAAGTGCTAGCTACTCCCATACCTTCTCTCTCGTGCTCTGGTAGCGAAGATGCAGCGCGGTGGGGTCCCAGTCGATGGCCAACAATAAGCGGCGGCGCGCGCCACTCACTTCCAGCCGCTGGATCACGCCGTTCTCCGCGATGTCGTTTGACTCATCCTGCGGGCAAATGCATCAGTATTACAATGAGGTTCCACGTAAACCGATCACCGACAACAGTGGTTTATCGCTTGCTTAGTCTTTCTTTCGACCTGAAGTTCTTCTGTCGACCCTTTGTCATATAAACTATACAGGGTGTCCCGTAATGTAACGTCAAGCCGGAACTGGGTGTTGAGGAAAGTTATGCTGGTTATCAGAAAAATATAAAAAAAAATCTATGTGGCATTTTGTCAAAATAATAGGCATTTAAAAAAAATCTACTCCCGGTGACGGTCTTTTTACTCGTGTTGCCACAAATCTTACCTTTTTCCAAAGGACATTGGGAACTTTAATATGAGAAAATGCCCCACGGCGGACAAAGATGAAACGTACTTTATTTCAAAGCTTTATACTTGTAGGTATATTCACTTAAAGCGCTATGTTGTGAGATATGGGAATTCTGAGATATGACGAGTCTAAGTTGAAAATATATTTGTCTAAAATGATTTGATATTTTTACATGTTATGTTGTTTGGCATTGCAGAGTAACCAATAAAAGTAAATAAAATAATATAAATAAATAAAAATATAAATAAAATAATATATAAAAATAAAATATTATAAATACTTAAATTAAAATTAGACAACATCTCATATATTACTCCAACCCAAAATAAGTAGCTAAGGCATTTGTGTTATGGAAATCGGGAACGACGAACCACAACACACCCAAACCAGAGACAATGTGAAAAGATCGTTTTCTATTTATTGTCCCGGCCGGGAATCGAACCCGGGACCTCAGGATTGGCCCGGCACACCTTGAAAACCGGTGTGTGCGCCTCTCCGCCACGGAGGTCGTCAAAAATGTTACCTAAATGTAAAATAAAATAAAATATTAAAACTTCATTTTCTCAATATTCCCATATAAGAGAGAAAAAAAAATGCACGGAAATTCATTGGATATTAGTATGTATCATCTGTGATAGGTTTCGTTTGTGTCCGCTACTTTTCGAAAAGTGGGGCAAAAAGTTCCCAATGTCATTTGGATGAAAAAACATTACGGGACAGCCTGTATATAAATTATTGTATTTTATTGAAAAAGAGGCTGACAAAGGTGACTGAGTTTATTCCGCCACCTCTTCTCAGCACCAGCCCATAATGTTGTCCCGAAGTGGTGGTAGGGCAAGCTATATTTGGGACGTGTATAGGTGCCCTGGAAAGGGCCTATGTACTGAATAAAATATTTGAATTTGAATTTTGGCATCACGCCCACGAAGGAGGTCGGTGGCTGNCGAGGACGAAGCACGAGTATAATCAATATTATATACCTGAAAAGAATTAAAAGTGCGAGAGGTCGTGCTTTTGTGGCGTTCTTTGGGGGAGGTTTACGTTCAGCGGCGGCGCGTAGTCCGCCACAGCAGGCCTACTCCAAAACGCTATTTACGTAGTTCTGGTCTACCTGTCACCTTCGCTCATGCTGGCATGTCGCTTTACGTTATAGGGATATGTTTTTTTATCCACAACGAGGAAGCTCTTGGCCTGTATCTCACCTGATGGTAAGTGATGATCAGGTCGAAGGTGGAAGCGAACGTTTTTCAGAGTAACTTCGCAGGCGTCACGCTGGTCTATGTAAGCAAGCGTGACGTCACTCACCACCACGGCGTAGAGGTTGTAGCGCAGGCGGAAGGGGTCGGTGCCGGGCTGCAGGCGGCGCGCGTGGAGCCTGGTGTGACGTCACTCACCACCACGGCGTAGAGGTTGTAGCGCAGGCGGAAGGGGTCGGTGCCGGGCTGCAGGCGGTGCGCGTGGAAGTCCTGCAGGTCGTCGTCGGCCACGGGCGCTACCGCTAAACTGGCCGACTGCAGGCGGGCTCGCCGACCGCGCTCTAGTGACGCGCGCCGCTTGGCTGCCATCTGCGCCTAGAGGAGTAAATGGATGCTCATAAAACTCATTTATGCAAGTAGGCTTTTAAAAAGCATTTTTACCGTCCCAGTATTAACCCTACCACTGCTTCAGGACAATAAATGGGCCAGTGCTGAAGTCAGCGAGTTATGGAACCGTACATTGTAGTCAGCGCGAAGACACCGGGTTGCAAAAGGAGACTGCAGAGCGAGAACGCAAGGATGATCTTCGCTCTAACGACTAAGGGAACAGAAGAAGCAACAGTATATCGCCTTTTGTTTCCTTTTCTCGGTGATGCCAACGGGCCATCACCAGCATCGAACAGGAACAGCTGCATGCTCTCAACTGCTCCTGTCACCTCCCATGCTGGGGAGCCAGTAGGGCCATAGGACGGACTGGTAGTTAAAGGCTTTATCCAGATTCGAAAAGTTTCTCTCATTTAAGGTGAGTAAAGCCGCACCAGGATTAACTTTAATAGGTATCCCTCGTCCTTCTGAATAGACAATAGTCTAGATGACAAAATTTCAATTATTTGTTCGTCAGACAGATAAATTAGAAAATATTAGACTCATATTTTTTATTTTCTTTCATAATTAAATAATAACACTGCTACATCGAGTTGAAGTGGCGCGTTACGTCATGCTTGAGTAGATTTTTTACTCAAGTGACGCCACGCGACATTTCAACTCAATATAATACTGTAATTATTCGATTATGAAAAAATGTGTTCAATTTTTTTTTATTATCTGACTGACGGACTAAATAGAATCTCGATTTCATTACCTAGTCATCATCCCTATTATCCCACATAATCTGTCCTGCCCCCGCAGATTTTTATTAGAAATTATTACGAGTATGATTATTTCTAAACTGGACTAACCAAAAAAGATTTCTTTAGTTGGTATTGAACCTAAAGTAAGGTAGCTACAAACGTATCTTACCTTGCTCTTCTGCTTCGGCGGCTGGCTGTCATCCTTCGCCTCCTCCCCTTTGTCATCCTCATCCTCACTGTCCTCGCTCTCCGTGATCGCATCCCCCACATCCATAAACAGCGACGCTCTCCTCTCAGTCAGTTCTCTATGCCTGAGGATGGTTTCCTTGGGCACGGACGCAAGGAACTCAGTCGGGTCGAAGTCTTCGAACGGGAAGTTGACCACCTTTTGGGACTTGATCCATTTGTTGTTGACGTATTGGAACCGCTTTAGGTGGATTATCTGGAAGTGGAAATGGCTGGTGAAGTTTGGGTAAGGAGAAATGTGATATAAATAGCTGACGTCGTTACGTGATGCGATGGGTTTGAAAAACAAGGCGTTTTTTTAATATTGTCTCTTTGATTGAAGAATAATACGCTTGAAATTATGAATAAGTCTAGTGTTTTTATAATGCTGTGGACAGTTTACACGTGACGGTGTTGTATACACGTGACATATGCTTTAGTATACACGCGACGTGTGCTGTATACACGTGACGGATGATGTATACACGCGACGTGTGCTGTATACACACTACAGGTGCTGTATACACGCTCGGGCGCTGTATACACGCGGCTGCATACGTACGAGCACGGGCGGCGCGCGCCACAGCTGCAGCGCCTTGCTGGCGGGCTGGTGCGAGCGGCAGGCGAGGCAGTGGTAGGGCTGCTCCAGGCGCTCGTCGCTGGTGAAGGCGCGCAGGCACGAGGCCAGGTCCACGGCCGCCGCCGCCGCGCCGCACTCGCTCACCGACGGGTGCTCGATCCACGCCTGACGACAATAGAGTATTGGTGATATTCTGGTTGCTGGTTCATGAGCTAAAGTCCGGTCGCCGAGCAGATAGAATTTCGTCCGATGACCCAAGCTGCACACTCACTGCGGCCGCCCGTCGCACAGTCGCGACAGCAATATAATTACGCGCGAGCGATAAGGATAGGTAGCTTGGGGCCATTGGATGAAATTCTATCTGCTCGGCGACTGGACTTTCAATGACAATGATTCGAGCGACTACATTCCTCTACATTTGTAGTCATACCAGGAAAGCTTTTGGCAGATTTCTCAACCTGGGGCTGTTGCCCCTATTGATACAACACTTCTGAGCTGAATGACGATGAGCAAGATTCCCCAGACCGACAGTGTTTTTTGCAAAGTTCTCCAATATTCATAGGAAATCTTAGAAATTCTGCTAGCAATGAGGGGGGTCTGTTATCAGAGGAAAGCACATCGCTAATGATGCTACAGTCAATACAGTGTGAACAGTGCTGGCTATCAATTTCCACCTCTCGTCTCCACCACTGCAACTCCTGTGTAGCCAGGATCTAAAAACTCAGCCAGTAAATACCTAGCTTTTTGTTTGTAAAAACTAATGTAATGTAACCAAACAAATGATAACTAGCGTTGTTCTCGTACTAGTAATACGTACTTGTGAGTTTTAGTGGTTTGTTTAACACAAGTATCTTTGTAACTTTAAGAAAGAGCGGGGCCTCCTTACACAGGTATTATTCGTAAAAGGAGACCTCAGCCACTTGAAAACATAATGTAAACATTGAAGATACTGAATAAATATTTTTTAATGATCATTTTCGAAGTGCTAGTTACTCCCATACCTTCTCCCTGGTGCTCTGGTAGCGAAGATGCAGCGCGGTGGGGTCCCAGTCGATGGCCAACAATAAGCGGCGGCGCGCGCCACTCACTTCCAGCCGCTGGATCACGCCGTTCTCCGCGATGTCGTTTGACTCATCCTGCGGGCAAATGCATCAGTATTACAATGAGGTTCCGCGTAAACCGATCACCGACAACAGTGGTTTATCGCTTGCTTAGTCTTTCTTTCGACCTGAAGTTCTTCTGTCGACCCTTTGTCATATAAACTATATATAAATTACTGTATTTTATTGAAAAAGAGGCTGACAAAGGTGACTGAGTTTCTTCCGCCACCTCTTCTCAGCACCAGCCCATGTTGTCCCGAAGTGGTGGTAGGGCAAGCTATATTTGGGACGTGTATGCCCTGGAAAGGGCCTATGTACTGAATAAAATATTTGAATTTGAATTTTGGCATCACGCCCACGAAGGAAGTCGGTGGCTGCCATCATCAGTTTGTGGTGGCCACTAACATTAGTAATAGATTTGTATCAAGTTGGTGCCACCGAGTGTCGCGGACTTTGGACAATCATCAATTCTAAACAAACGTATTAAATACTTATTTATTTCATGGAAAACAAACAGCACATTATGCAACAGATTTTTTATTTTATGTGACAAGATTTTGTAAGTGATTACCGTCGCCCATAGACACCCGCAGACCCAGGGGCGTCACAGGTGCGTTGCCGGCCTAAGGTGAAGATACGCTCTCCTCTTGAAAGCTTGCAGGTCGTATGCGTCGTATCGTAATCGTATAATAATATGTGATATTATTAATTTATGATTAAGTAACGATCAAGATCTCCACCCACAAGGTGGACCGACCTGATGAAGGTAGCGGGAAAGCGCTGGATGCAGGCCGCTACCAAACATGCGATGTGGAAGTCATTGGGGGAGGCATATGTTCAGCAGTGGACGTCCTGTCGCTGAATTGATGATGATGATGATGAACGATCAAGAAGATTTTTTTATTGAACAATTGCAGAGCATATTAGTCACTGACCTGGTGTGCAAAGCGAGCGCTGGCGTGTCGCTGAAGCTTGGCGGCGGCGGCGGGCGAACTCTGCGCTGCCTCCGCGCTCGGCCGCCGTCCGCGACTGCACTCGCCTGCAACACAAGAAGTGCATGAGCGCGTTGTAGGCTATTGCAATTTATAGCAGTAGCCAACAAATTGGTTTAGTCAAGTAGTTTTGCTAAATTATCCTACTAATAAATAAATATCCTTGGACATTTTACACTGCGCTTCTAGTTCCAAACTAAGCAAAGCTTGTACTATGGGTACTAGACAACGGATATAAACATACATAAATACTTTTTTTTTTTGTAAATACATACATATTATACATAGAAAACACCCAGTCCGATACAAACAAATATGTTCATACACACAAATGTTTGTACTGTGCGGGAATCGAACCCGTAACCTCCGGAATAGTAGTCCGTTTCGAACCACTACACCAAACGGCCGACGACTAATATTATAAATGCGAAAGTTTGTGTAGATGTTTGGTACTCTTTCAAGTAAAAACTACTGAACGGATTTTGATGAAACTTTACAGTACTGTTGTTTATAACCCAGAATAACATACAGGCTATAATTTATAACGATCTGTGAAATATAAATTTCACACGGGTGAAGCCGCGGGCAAATACTAGTAGTCTATATAAATTGAAATTTATAGCAGTAGCCAACAAATTGGTTTAAAGTCAAATAGTTTTTCTAAATTATAAAATTAATTATTTATTGTGTGCAATGTATTTTTTCCTATTTTGGGTTTGCAATGATGTCAATTGTATACGATATGTATTATGTGACCAATTCGTGCGAGGGGTGTACGTCTGGTACTATGAAAATGCGACGCCAGCTTTATAAATACGACGTCAGCTGTATACATACGAAGTCAGCTGTATACACACGTCAGCTGTATACATACGATGTCAGCTGTATACATACGAAGTCAGCTGTATACACACGTAAGCTGTATACACACGTCAGCTGTATACATACGATGTCAGCTGTATACATACGACGGCAACTATATACATACGACGTCAGCTGTATACACACGACGTCAGCTATATACACACGACGCCGTCCGCTGTACAATACACAAGTCGGGTGCTGTACACTGCCGCGGTGACGTCACAGTACTCACGGCAGCACAGCACGAGCAGCGCGGCGTGCGTGGGCAGCGCGCAGCCGCGGCACAGCGCGGGCCAGGCGCAGGCGCCGCACCACGCGCCCGCGGTGACGTCACAGTACTCACGGCAGCACAGCACGAGCGGCGCGGCGTGCGTGGGCAGCGCGCAGCCGCGGCACAGCGCGGGCCAGGCGCAGGCGCCGCACCACGCGCCCAGCGGCCCGCTCACCAGCCGCAGCGTGAACGGGAACTCGTAGCCCAGGCTGTCGTCGCTGTATACAACAACAAGCTTTTATATCTATACTAATATTCTAAAGAGATAAAGTTTGTGTGTTTGTATATTTGTTAAATTGTAAGGGGTAATCTCGGGATCTACTGAACCATTTTTAAAATTCTTTCACCAATAAAAAGCCAAATTTTTGCTGAGTGTCATAAGTCATATAAAAAACTGAACCCGTACTCAATAAAACATGCTGAAGGACCATCCAAGGACTCGAACCCACCCCCCAATAGATTCTTAACGTATTTAAATTCACAAACATCTTGGCAGCTGACGTGACAATGACAAAGTCAGACAGAAGTGTGGGATTTTTCTGTCATTGAAATTCATTGCAATGACTAAGATGTCGTCTAGATAAATGCTCGACAAAAGGGTGGAGTACGATAATGTTATCAAAGTAAGATAAAACTAGTGAAGGCGTTCTAATCAAACCCGTAGTTGTAGTAGGCATGGTTAATTGAAGAATACAATCCCTAAATTATATGCACGCGGACTAACTTGATAGCTACCGGCATTGTATGGTAGGCAGTAAAGACATCCAAAGGTTCCACAACAATGATTCTAAATCACGCTACATTTTTATTTTAAACTCACCAATCAGTGGCATGATTTGACGTTTCGTGCGTAGGTGGCCTCGCGCTGAGTAGCCTCGAGACCTGTAAGAACGATGAAAGTTATTATTTTCAGTCTTGAAAAATTGACTTTTCTTTAGTTTTGAATTTGTCTTCGCTAACATTCGGAGCCAATAAAACTCAGGTTTGATCAATATTTGGTATTATTTGAAAATGTATTACAATAATGCGCCTTATGTACACTGTTCTATGTGCATGTAAGTTTGAAATAAATAAAATAAATGCGAAGGTAAGTAATTTGATAGTAAAAAATAACTATGAAGTTTGAAACGTCTGTGATGAAACAATAGCAAATGACATGTACAAGTATTTCGACACAATAAATCTCAATAATGATGGTAAAAATCAGCCAGTACCAGTAAAAGGTTGAAACCTTTGATTCAAACAAAAGGGAAAATACGGTAAAAGCGTCTGAAATATGTGATGCTTAAATGACGTGCCACGACAGCATTTCTGACGGAATACTCACTGACAATTTGACATTCGCCATGATGTCAGGGCCTTGTTTTTTCAACAACGTAAGCACAATTACATAACAGAGAGGAATGGAAAGGAGCATGCTAGGATTGAAACTAATGGACAAGACCAGAAATGCAGACATCAGGTGCAAAACGAAACTAACAGACATCCTGACACGCATCGATCAACTCAAATGGAGATGGGCGGGACATATGCTACGCTGTAACAAGGAGAAGTGGTGTAAACGGTTGACAGTGTGGTACCCAAGAGATAGCGCCAGAAACCGAGGTCGCAAAAGGCTTCAAGATGGGAGGATGAATTGAGGTTGACCGCAGGACCTCTATGGATGAGAGTGGCGGAGGACAGAAGGCAATGGAAGGAGTTGGAGGAGGCCTTTGCCAATAGGCACACCGAAATTTCAGACATTTTGTGAAAGCTTTTTAAGTTAAGTATTTGTTTATATAAGTGTTATCCTAAATTCAGAAAGTGTTAAATGTAAAATGTAAAAATGTTCGGAAATAAAAGGCTTATTATTATAAGCACAATTGCCGTATCCTTCCTTTTCATTATGCTCTAAGGTTACCTGCGTCCAGACGGCGGCGTAGATGTCGCGGCCGCTCATGCCCTCGCGCAGCCCGACGAGGAGGGGCACGCCGAACAGCGCCGGCTTGCAGCGCTGCGACGACAGGAAGTACGCGTCCATGCGGCACTGCTTCCTGAGGGACCATAGGTAATGTGACCATACGTCCCGCTTCGGGCGGGACTGTCCCGCTTTCAGACTGTCTGTCCCGCTGTCCCCCGCAAGAGCAAAAACGTCCCGCTTTAGCTTTAAGAATGTATATATCGTTATTAAATGTAACAACAGCGCGGGCGACACAGTGCGAATCGTGCGGCGGCCGAGACAGTGCGACAAGATAAGTCTTTGATGAGTTTGCACTTATTTCTAAGTTTGTGAGAGATGAAAAGATCTCTGGCTGGAATGCCGAGTATGTTACTACTGAAAACCGTTGGCTCGAATTATTCCAGCACTTTCGTACCAACACTCTTGATGTAACAAACTTTTCCATACTTATCGAGTACATGTATATGTCTGCCAGGAAGTAACGCAACAGTTTCGCAGGTTTTTTTTAGAACTATTCCTCAGTTGTCCCGCTCTGGCACAGAAAATAAATGGTCACGTAAACCATAGGGGACTTGACACACTAGTCCAGGGTTTCCCAAACTATGGGTCGCGACCCAGTGGTGAGTCGCGAGCGAACATTGAGTGGGCCCTGCCTGTAGAACAACACACCACCCTACCGATCCAACCGCTTGGCAGTGGGCGAAATTTCCTATACTAGGTGGGTCCCGAGTTTGGGAACTTGTATTAGTAGATGCGTTTGGGAACTTGTATTAGTAGATGCGTTTGGGAACCAGACAACTTTGGGAACCACTGCACTAGTCAATGACACATGTTTTTGAGCTGTCAAAACGAGGCTCTCCCATAGATTTTGTGTAGCAAAAACAAACGATGGTTTACTGTTTATTTGAAAGATTCATTTTTGTTGCGAAATAGTACTTATTGCAAATTCATAAGACTCTAGCTTATTTTGATGTGTTGTGTGTACCAAAACATTTTCAGGTACCGAAAAACTAGTGGCTTCAGTGATGCGCGAATGTTTTTTTTAAACTGTGTCTGGCTGTGGTGACAACAAAACAAATATATTTTGAGAGGCAGTTTTTATAATAAAAAACCTCATTCACCGTTTTTTCTCATTCATTTTTGACAGGATACAAGATTGATTTCTACAATAAATCAATTTGAACAATAATGACATCTATTTCAACACTCAAGGATCGATCTTAGAAAAACCAGAACACATTTAAAAGAAAATTAAACCTGTAAAGCCCGGTCCGTGAGCACGTAAAATTTTGTCCAATGACCCCAAGCTACCCATCCTTATCGCTCGCGCGTAACTATATTGCTGTCGCGACTGTGCGACTGGCACCCGCTGTGAGTGTGCGCGATAGCAACATAATTACGCGCGAGCGATAAGGATGGGTAGCTTGGGGTCATTGGACAAAATTCTACGTGCTCACAGACCAGACTATAGTAGGCAGACATCCTACACTGACCTGTGCACGGCGACCAGGTACTGTAAGCGTCCGACCTGCACGTGTCCGGTCGGCGCGTCCATCCCACACATGTTGGAGGGCGACGAGCCGAAGCGCGCCTTGCCCAGCGCTGGGCTGCCCGGCTTGAGCGTCAATGACCGCACGCTGAGCGTGGGCGAGCCGTTGTCTATGGGTTTTAGAAAAAAAAAACTTTGTTATACATAGAAATATCATCTAAAGTCCAGTCGCCGAGCAGATAGAATTTCGTTCAATGACCCCAAAATACCCGTCCTTATCACTCGCACGTAATTATATTGCTGTCGCGCTCGAACACTCACTGCGGCCGCCCGTCGCAAAGTCGCGTGATAAGGATGTGTAGCTTGGGGTCATTGGATGCAATTCTATCTGCTCGGCGACCGGACTTTACGTGTTGTAGCCCTTCAAGTATCATCAATACTAATCAATTTTATTGTTACCGCGATCTCATGCGATCGCTTAAGGTTAGACCAGACCAACGCGTGCAGCCGGCGTGCACGATGACGATGGCGATGGCGACCAGACAGCGTGTATGAATTTGTAGCGATGTGTTCACATCAACGCGTCCTGTCATTGGTCGCGGCGATCTATGCAGCGTCTGCACGCAGCGATCAGCGATCATCGCGACATTTGTCACCGTGACGTTTCTGTTTTTTAAAATCGATGTAATAAATAGTAAGTAGGATCTGTTAAAAAGTTTTTACACAATTGAAAATGAATTATTCATAACATACCACTAGTCTGACCTACTTGAATAATAAAAAAGGTTTCTCAAAGGCCCTAGAGCAATTCTAAGTATGCTTTAAATAAAAACCTAATTAAAGTCATCAAACGTCTCAGTCATTAATTTAGTGCCACTAGAAACACCTAGTTGATCAAAACTGATGTCTTTTTGTATTTTTGGGTTATTATTAAAGACAAAAAAGATATTTGGACTATTATGTGGTTTGGGTGCATAATGTAATTTCCTTTGCCTTAAAAAAAGTAAATGTCAAGATGACTGTTGCACCAAAAATGACAATGAAAATTGATTTTGATGGATGTTGTGTTGAGTTCTGTGTATAGATGACCCACGCTGAACTGTCCCGCCAAACTCAATGACAGGGGGGCGCTACCATCGTTCAACTTTATGGTTTCCAATATGGCAAAAATCGGAACCAGCGATTCGGTATAGATGGTGGCGCCCCGCTGTCAATGTCATCGATAGGACAGTTCAGTATTTTGGAACTATAGTTTTGTGCGATTTAACGATAAGAACGACAATGGTAAAAGGTAATGGGGGCAAATTTTTTCCCTCAAGGAAAAAGATGAATTGGCAGTTTCAGTAAAAACTCGAGCATGAGTAATATCACAATGTCTAAGGCTGGGTTGCACCATCTTACTTTAACTTTGACAAACGTCAAAAATATGTCAAATTCCATACAAAAAGCTCTGGTTATAGTCATAGTTAACGTTAAAGATAGGTGGTGCAACCCACCCTAAATCTTTCTCATTGTAAAACACATATTTTTCGTCACTTTAAATAGAAACGGTTGACACTACTATCGAAAAATTATTTTAGCACATGACGTCACAAGTATGGCGATCAATTGTGACGCGTTTGTGGTCACGTGGTCTTTTTCAACGTTTCTAAGTAATTGAAGAAAAAAATTTAAAGAGGTTTTGGCACAGAATACAAACATACAATTTTAAAAATACATTAACAATGACATATTTTCTCAAATACCCAATTCTCTTCGAAGCTCCCTAGGTAGCGTCCGACTTCGCGGGTCTCCACGGGCCTCCTCCGTCGCATCGGGCCCGTCAGGCCCGTCGGTCGCATCGGGCCCGTCGGCCGCGTCGGGCCTGCTGTAGAAGGCTGAAGGGGGACTCTGCGACATGAGGATCTCGGAGCGCGATCTCTGGAAGGGCAGGGCGTTAGTATGTTATTGTTGAACGGACAGGGAGAGCTGGCTCGTTGAAAAAGAAATTATGTACTTTTAGGGGTATTTTTAAAAGATATACACTGGTCATAATAAAAATCGACCCACCCGCGACAAGCACTTTCAAACGTATGCATCCTCACTTCCCACCAATATTACTATACTATATTACCATTTAAAAGCCTAGTTCTAAACTTCATTTCATTAAAGGAAAAGTGTTTACCCCAAAAATGTGTCTGTAGAAGAATCCAGAGTCACTTCTTCAAAAAATAGGTAGTTACGCTTGAGCCAACTTTTATGGCTATAAAAATGTTAAGTTGGGATTAATCGCTATCCATCTGTTAAAGAGGACACGTGAGATCATTATTTGGTTTTATAACCATAAAAATTGGTCTAATTGATCCCAGAGGTGAGCCCAAAGTGAGGTCTGTTTTTCAAGTTTTTCAAGTCACATTTATTGTATATGTTAATCGTTTATTAGGAAATGCCATGTGTTTTTCTTTAAGGATATTTATTGGGCTTTCAAATGACACCAATATTGTTGGGGCACCATGATTGTGTCAGTAGAAACGAGTTTTCTTGTAAAACGTAGGTGGGCCGGTTTTTGTGATGACCAGTATAGAAACGATGTAAGTAATTTTAGAGGTATTTTCAAAAGACAAATACTTGTACTAACTTTCGATAAACAGCAGGCTACTCCGATACGCTGTTTACGTAGTTTCAAGTCTATCACCGTCGCTCATGCTCGCATCTCGCTTGACAAGAGAGGGAAGGCGACATTCGAAACTACGGATAACGTTTATCAGAGTAACCTTACAGTATCGTAATTATTTTTAACATAGCTTTTCAACGAAATACCATTATTTTAATCAGCCACCGAATTACAGTGGTAACTAGATGTGACGGATGATTAAATTGCATCCCTTTCAATCAAAGCTTACACTTATCACTAAATTCCAAATTGACTATTTATGAAGTGAAAAAGTTAAGTTTGCAAACAAGGGACATTACTTGAAGTTATGATTAAAAATTGTGACTAATTAGTTGATGTACGAACCAGCTCAAGTTATAAAGTAAGAATAAATGCCCGTAACCTATACAAAAATCTACCTTTCTACTATACACAAAATAGCCTACACACAGCATAGCAGGAGGAATATTTCCACAAATCAAAAACACACAATGGGTGGATGATCGGATGATTTTATCTACAGTTCTAACTACTGATGTTTCAAGACAAGTCCAAATACCTACCTATCGCTATATGTCTGCCTCGTTCTATTAGAGTACTAAAATGCTTTCATGCATACTTTGTAAGACCAAAAGAACACACATAGAACGATTCAGTGGTAAATTCAATTCGTTGAATGCAGAATTTCGACAATCAGGGGTGATTCACACAGGAGGGATGAAGAATGCAACAAAATCGCGGGTTCGAAGCGAGATAAAGCGAAGCTATTTCACATTTGAGCGTTATACGTCAGGCTTGAGAACAATATGCTTCAAACAAGCTTTTTGAGATTTTGTCGCTTTTTTCATCGTTCATGTGTGAACCAACCTTTTTTTTTACTACAAAACAATGAAAACTTCGATAATAACGAAACACCAAACAAATACATTTCAAAATCGTGTATCAGACTTGAACAGGATAGAATGATGTGTGTAAGAGATTTTTGTACTGTAATTTCAACCAACAAAATGTTATGAAAGTCTACTTTGAAACTATGTACAAAGGTTACAGTGAGTTGCACGTTTACTTACTGGGTCCCACGTTTATGTACAATTGAACAGACACAAGGTACACACCGGATTAGGATTATGTACATTCGTAATATTGTTAGATCCCCCAATTTTAGTTAGATTCTCCCAATCATTATTACCATTTTAGTAGATATCTGTTAACCCTCACCGACTTCATTTTTTATCATATTAAAATATCGTATCAACCAAAAATTAATAAACTTAAAAATAATGTTAATTTGTATACTTTATAAGTGACGTGTATCACTAATGGTTCGTGTTGTTATTTATCTTTTGGTTTTGAGCTGTAAATCTTAACAAAATTTTGTACAGTGTTATTTTAAAATTACTTTTTACATTTACTTAGGTTTTCTTTGTGGCCGGTCTTGTAATCCAATCTAAAACACTGAAAAATTTGGAACTTCAATTTGTGTTTCATATAAAGTTGACGAAGTGTTAGTGTAATCCAATGTGAAATCGCTCGTAAAATGTTTATCAAACGTCATTATAGTGATGTTATGCTTTTAGTTACACACAAAACAATAGTTAATACATTAAAAATAAAGAAAAAAAACACTTTAATTTAAACTTTAGATTGTCAAAAATAATCAACATACGATTAATATTAACCTTTTCAATAACATAATATTATTTTTTCAAATTCAAATTGTGTTTATTTTAGCACTATTCATTTGAGAACATCTTTATTAATCTGTTTGACGACGTAAGATTACACGTAACATTTTAGTCGTTAATTGAAAACATTTATCGATTGACAATTATTATGTTACAGTCAGCGTTGAATTGTTCGTGACACCCAACAAGTAACCAAAAAGATCGCAACACGTTTTTGTTAAAATGAGGGTTTTCGCGAATGAAAGATCCGCTAGATGGCGGGACGTGGATGTGGGGTCTGACTGCTGCGTGATTGGTGGATTTTGACATATCTGTCAATGTCATGTCAAAAATAACCAATCATGCAGCATTTGGACCTCGCGTCTACGTACTGCCATCTGGCGGATTTTTCATTCGCGAAAACCCTAATTGGAATAAAGCTGTGTTGTCAACTTTTTGGCTACTTTGAGTGTCACGAACTATTTGACGCTGACTGTACCTAGACATGTGTGTACTATCGGCCACATTCGATCTACCCATTTCCATTTTTTCTCTCGCTTTCATCAAATGGTGACTCTTTGCGTTAGAGCGAGACACATGACCGGGATGGGTAGCTGGAAATTTGGCCGATAGTATAGATCGTTTCATCCACGAAGACGCGCCCCACCATTCTTCCGCTAATGTTTGAGAGTTATCGGTACACACTAAATCATCCATGAACACTACAATAATACCGCTCGGATTGCTCGGATCAAACTCCCCGCACCCCGCGCGACCGAGACCAAACATAGCCACGATAGCCGAACGGTGAAGGGGTCGGAGTGGCCGACTCGAGATCCGAGGAATGCGGGTGCGAATCCCACCGCCGCTCGACTATTGTGGTGAGCCCACTCGTAACACAAGCTTATTTAGCTTAACACGAGGGGCTAATGGGACTATTAGCACAGAATAATAATAAGTACTACGTACAGAAGTTTTACTTCGCGAAGGTATTTAAAAAAATGTATGCTCAATGTCATTAACAATATGATGTAATTTAGCATGTCTCAAGAGTCAAGCACCATTTTGTTGACAAACGTCAGTGATCGGCACTGCGCCGAAGCTATAGGGCTGACTTCGGTAAAATGATGTGACGTGAGGTGCCAAACTGAATAATATTAACTACTTATTTACCTCTCAGTGTCTTGAGGCAACTTAAAAAAGTACATTCTGTGTTTTTATTATTATTTAGGCAGTTAAATACTGCACAGTAGTTTAGTACACCATTTTCTTTATTTTCTTCCATCATACACAAGAATACGCGTGTGAGTCAATGTTCGCTCTTATGTGAGGGCTTGTATCCTGTAGGTGGGCCATCGTGCGTGTTTTGTTTTCGATGTAAGCTCGCGGAGATGAACAGGCCTGCTATAAGTAATTTGGGCTAAAACATTGGCGGGGCGCGTCTTCGTGGACGAAGCGACTGTACGTGTGTATTGTGTGTGTGTGTGTCCGTGCGCGTGCTAACCTTGAAGCAGAAGAGTGCGGGCATGCAGAGTGAGGAAGCGGGGCCGCGCGGCGCACTCACCTCCGCCCACGCCGCCTCCGCGCCGCTCCAGCCTACACGGTATGGTAGACGTTAATAATTCAATAATAATAAACCTCATTACAAATTATATAGTCTGGTCCGTGAGCACGTAGAATTACGCGCGAGCGATAAGGATGGGTAGCTTGGGGTCATTGGACAAAATTGTACGTGCTCACGGACCGGGCTTTAACAATTAAAACGTGACACCACTAGTGGTGTAATAAATGATAATAATTATGAGGATAGTTGAAAATTTTCAAGCCCGCCCGAACGGACGACGCCGCGAGCCGCCAGTCTGCTTGTGACCACGTGCGTCAAGCCGTGAGTACATAATGTAACTCATTCGTAAACGTCGCATTAAGACCCGTGTCTTTCTGTTTGACTTATTAGAAAATAATAATAAAAAATGTCTTTACCAGTAATGTACCTACAGTCCTATAAGCAATGAGTATTGCAATTGGGCTCACAACCTTTAACAAATTTATTTACCATTTATTCGAAAAATAGCATTTTTAATCGCATGACTGTGGCATTAGCCAAAATTTTTGTTTCGTTTCAGTACTCTTCCTAGACCTCTTTAAGGAAAAAGCAGATAGGCACTTACTGGGCTATGTTTTCGGAAGAGTAGAGTACGACCACTCTCACTCTTCCTTTATAATTATGACACTCCCACTCTCCCCCTATTTAAAGGACAAATATGCGAGGCCTCACCAACCCGTCTGGCCAGCTTGGGAAATGTAGGCCAATTCCTTCATGTGTCACTTTAAAGAGAAGCCGGCTCCTGAACATAAACGACTTGGTGATGTGGCGCGCACGTAAGTCCTTGCGTACGCGTGGGTTGACTTACACAGTTGTAGTGCGCAGGTTCGCTCACCAGGGATACAAGGAGCGGGGTGGGGAGGCGCGGTCCGCCTTGTGTACATGTGGATTGACATGTAGTGCGCGAGCACACTAGTGGTGTGGCGCGGCACACTGGCGGGGCTCACCGGGCACGCAGGGCGCGTGGTGCGGCGTGGCGAGCGGCGGCGGCAGCTCGTAGGCGTACAGCTGCATGGCCCGCGCGGGGCACACCTTGTGGCCGTCCTCCAGCACGCGCCCGATGGTCGCGCCGCTCAGCTCCACCAGCAGCATCCTGGGGACGCACAAACATCATCAGGCTTGGCCCAGGAGCACACAGTAGCGGACCAATGTCCAATATTAGGACAATAACTCGCGGTTTCGTTTCAATAGCCCTAAAGGACACTGTCGGGTTTTAGTGAGTAGGCCCCGCCCTCCTGGCGGGGAGAGTTTCACATAACTCACTGACTGTCCCCATTGGCCAGTGCATTTACCGACGCAAAAAAGGAGCATACAGTAGAGGGCAAAAATCCTGTGTCGCGGTGTGAGCGGGGCTTGCCCCAATACGTGCGATATTTACGAACGCGGGGTGGTGTGTGCTTGAATACGAGAGAGAGAGTCGTACACCAGCAAAGTGCGTAGTTAACTCTATCGGGTTCGAGCTTCTTAATCAAAATTGGAACAAATTCTCCAAGTAATTTTACAATTTCTGTGTTCCATCTGGGACCTAATGGAATCCTAACAAGCATCCTAGATCGGTCGATTCTCTAACCGTATTACCTATTAAAAATCATAACGAAAAAATATGAGCTAAAGTTAGTCACAAGTAGAGTAAAAATGGAGAAAAGGTCTGACAAAATTGAAAATGAATAAAAGTAAGAGGACAGTGCACTCACGAGTCAGGCTCCAGCCCGCACAGCTTCGCCAACTTCTGCTTGAGGTCCAGGTACGTGCCTTCCGAGTGCACGCGCACGCCGTACTTCACCGGCACCGAGCCGTCCAGCAGGATCACTGCAAGCCAACAGTTTACATTCAAACGGCGCTCGGGGCGGAGCGGCGAACGCGAACAATGCTCGCGAGCAAATTTTCGCGATCTTTTGACTCTAGTAACTTGCTAATAGGGTTGGCGCCACGAAGGGTAAGCTCCTGTCATTCGTCAGTGACGCCAACTAAGGAATGCCAAATACAGTAGCCCTCATCATTTATACAGTATATGGTGTGTTTCAATCGTCACACGATTTAAGGCAATATTTGGTTTTAAATCAATGGGACTTTTTGCAAAATCAAATCAAAATTAAAATCAAAAAATATTTATCCAGTTTAGACCACAAGTGGCACTTATGAACGTCAAAATATAGTAAATAAAAGGTAGCCCTTATGGGGCACTTTACATGTCTCCTTATCTTTTGGACCAGCGCTTCGAGACAAACATTATGGCAAGTGCTGAGAAGAAACGCCGGAACAAACGCATATAGTGTCAACAAGAAAGACAAGTCAATTATTTTGGTTTCTTTCTTTCTTTTTGTATGAGTGAAGGTGACGGAATGAAGCGTGACGGAGAGTAGCGCGACGGAGTGTAGCGAGGCGGAGTGTAGCGCGACGGAGTGTAGCGTGACGGAGTGCAGCGTGACGGAGTGTAGCGTGACGTACCTCGCACCTCGGCGCGGACGATGGACTCCATGGGCAGCGGCAGGCTGAGCATGTTGAAGGAGTGTAGCGTGGCGGAGTGTAGCGTGACGGAGTGTAGCGTGACGGAGTGTAGCGTGACGTACCTCGCACCTCGGCGCGGACGATGGACTCCATGGGCAGCGGCAGGCTGAGCATGTTGAAGGAGTCGAAGCGCACGGAGTCACGGGAACACGTGACGCATCGGACACGGGACTTGAGTTGGCCACAGAACAGCTCCGTCAGGATCGACTGGTTGCGAGCCGTGTACGCCGCCCATGATTCCGCTGCCACCACCTGTAAGCAGACATACACTTTACAACGGGTACTTATAAAGGTTGCATAAAGGCGATCCGAGCAGCGCGGCACTATACGTCACATTCATAGCGAAAGTCGCTGCACGGAATTGACATAATTATGTTGTGGTGTCGCGTCGACTGCGTAAGTACTGGCGAGACGGGGACGAAAGATGTTAATGGGAGGGCCTTAGTCAAGTCAACGTCACTGACTTCGTCGGGCAGCAGGCAGGCCAGCCGCTGTGTGACTCGTGTGACGTCACTGACCTGGTCGGGGCGGCCGTCGGAGTCGGCGGGGGCGGGTGAGGCGGGCGGGGGCGCGGCGCGGTTGAGGTCCTCGTGCAGCGCGTCCAGCAGCCAGGCCAGCAGCCCGCGCGTGACGTCACTGACCTGGTCGGGGCGGCCGTCGGAGTCGGCGGGGGCGGGTGAGGCGGGCGGGGGCGCGGCGCGGTTGAGGTCCTCGTGCAGCGCGTCCAGCAGCCAGGCCAGCAGCCCGCGCGTGACGTCACTGACCTGGTCGGGGCGGCCGTCGGAGTCGGCGGGGGCGGGTGAGGCGGGCGGGGGCGCGGCGCGGTTGAGGTCCTCGTGCAGCGCGTCCAGCAGCCAGGCCAGCAGCCCGCGCGTGACGTCACTGACCTGGTCGGGGCGGCCGTCGGAGTCGGCGGGGGCGGGTGAGGCGGGCGGGGGCGCGGCGCGGTTGAGGTCCTCGTGCAGCGCGTCCAGCAGCCAGGCCAGCAGCTCCTGCGCGTCGTGCTGGCCGCCGCCCGCCAGCGCGCGCGCGTGCCGCGACACCACCCAGCGCACGCGCAGCGGCGCCACCGAGCGCGCGCTACACGACCACACCTGACACAAAAGATACACAGTCAAGCAGGGTACTCATTTAGCCGTGTAGCATGTAATGTGCTTCGCAGGGAGATCGCAGCGAGCCGCCGAGTGTCGGTATCACCACAGAATAATAATAAGTACTACGTACAGAAGTTTTACTTCGCGAAGGTATTTAAAAAAATGTATGCTCAATGTCATTAACAATATGGTGTAATTTAGCCTGTCTCAAGAGTCAAGCACCATTTTGTTGACAAACGTCAGCGATCGGCACTGCGACGAAGCTATAGGGCTGACTTCGGTAATATGATGTGACGTGAGGTGCCAAACTGCGGAAAATGGCGGAGCAAAAACATTATTCAGTATGAATTATCATAATATTAACTACTTATTTACCTCTCAGTGTCTTGAGGCAACTTAAAAAAGTACATTCTGTGTATTTATTTTATTATTTAGGCAGTAAAATACTGCACAGTATTTAGTACGCCATTTTCTTTATTTTCTTCCATCATACACAAAAATACGCGTGCGTGAGTCAATGTTCGCTCGTATGTGAGGCCTTGTCGAATAGTATCCTGTAGGTGGGCCATCGTGCGTGTTTTGTTTTCGATGTAAACTCGCGGAGATGAACAGGCCTGGTATCACTGCGAGCACAAAGGCGGCTCCGGGAGCTCGCAGCTAGATATGCGATGACCGTGGACGAGCCGTACTCACTTGAAGGTGGGATACGTTACAAGCTACGTTACGTGCTACATGGCAGGTGAGTACCCTGCTTCAGAGACGCAATGATATCAATTCATAAACACAATCGAAGCCTAAAGCTTCAGCCAAACCCGTTCAGCTTACAACCGCGTTAGCGTGCACGATGACGGATGTCGTGTACGAACTTGTAGCATGTGTTCACATTGGCCGCGGCATCTGAACACTGCGTCTAAACACTGCATGTGAGCGTCTGTACACGCGACGGTGGCGATCTCATCGCGCTTGTCATTTTGACGTTTTCGATTTTAAAATGGCGGAGTTTTTGGTCAACATCTGGAACGCGAACACAGCAGTGTAAACAACTTTCGCACGCACAGTGATCGCCACCGTGCACGCTATCGCAGACTTGGCTTGACTTTCGCTTCAATGCGATAAAAACCTATGTGACGCGACGTGTTGTTTATGGAATAAACACTGTTCCTAAAGGAATAATAGAGACATCTAACGAACAAAATCGCTTTTAATCGTTACTTGTAACAATAACTGAGTTGCACCACCTAAATTTGACCGTAACTATAACAATAACCGTGGTTTTAGGAGTTTGACAAAGGGTGCAACCCGGCCTAAAAGTGAAATTGTCAATTTTTCGAATTGTTTTGACTTACCTCCTTGCAGAGCTCTCCAAACCGCAACGCGAGGGCTCCTTTAGTCCCCAAAGGATTGGCGGTGTTCAACTCATACATATGCATGCCCGAGTTGAAGTACTGTGTGAGTGGTCCCGTGTTCCATACCTGTACATAATTAGTTCAAGATTTTCGTTATCCTATCTATCTAGAAGCTTGAAAACAAACATTTAACCTGAGCTCAACGCAAATAAATATCAATTACGGGTGATTACTTGATTAACTACTTTTCAATTTGACATGTGAAAAAAGGAAACGTGTTGTTAACATATTGGCTGAGGCTGTAACCACAAAATATAACAGAAGGTAAACTCCATACTAAGCGCGCTCGAGCCACGCACACATAGACACCGCTCACGTACGCGTTATTAAGACTGTCTTGGACGAATGCGAGGTGCGACTGCGTTCGATTGAGTGACGCTGCTCACGCGTTCGTAAAATTATTTTGTTTGTGCGAAAAAAAAGTGAACAACAAAAAAGGGGTATTATAACATTTGTTAAGTAGATTTAGGTTATGTAGGTTGCTTACACTCAACATTAAAAACTAAATTTTCGTTTTTGAAACTAACAGTTGATTCCGGGAGGTAAGTAAGGTATTTATTTGTATTTCAATAGTTCGTTTAACGTTGACAAATTGAAAGCCAACTCAATTATTAGGAATATCGAATTGTTTTAGACAGGTTTTAAGAATTATTGGATAATAGTGTCAACCACTCAACTAAATAATTTCCTTCTCGTGTATTTGTTTGCAAACGATTACTATAATAAGTAATAACGTACTAAATATAACTGCATAAGTATACGTGGATATCTGTTATTGTCTTTCTTCCATAGTATTAAGAGTAACATTTTTCTATCATAACGAAATAAACGCAACACATGACAAGACAACCCTAGCGCGACGGCCGAGCGTGCGAGCGAGAGAGGTATGCAAAGCGAGGTACATATAGCCTGACCATGAACATAAAAACCCTGGAATAGAGGCGCGTCAATTGCATTTGATAGTGCAACACTGAGTACAGTCGTACCTGTGTTAAATTAATAGGCTAACTTTATGTATCAGGATTCAGGATTACGGGCTAATTTGATATTTTCATAAATTAACGAAAAAATATTATTATAGGTAACCTGGTTTAAATAAATTAAATGAAACCATCAATCGAGCTAGTAGGATTTATTTTATTATTCATCAATAATCAAATTCAGAACTTGAATATTCAACTGCAATGTCTGCTCATGAACGCTTCAAACTCGGTACTTCTTTCCCAATTCCATAAAATTCAACACTTAGAAAGTGACAAAAAACTTTAAAATAGGTAGTTGAAACAAACCACAGCTAATTTTCATAGTTGACTGTACTATACGATAAACATGTCAGTCAATTTGACAACCTTTGTCGGAAACATTATTCAATGAAAATATTGTCCGAACCCTTAGTATTTCTCTTCGACAAATACTTTAACACATTGTGAACCACTTTTCTTTCACGACTATAAAAAGATTTTAGCAATTTAATTCACAAAATCAATTGCGCACATTTAAAATAAAGTTTGTTTACACTTTGACAGCAATAGACTGACATGCAAGGTGACATGTCAATGAAGTTTTCAGTTACTGTTGCCATTAAAAGAAATTAGTACCATTAGTTTTCCGCAACATGGCGAGGGTTTTTATGTTCCTGGTCGGGCTATACATGAGTTTACCTTCTGTTATATTTTGTGCTGTAACCCTATCTACGGGTATTATCACGTCACGTTTTGATTGACATATTCGTAGGTGTCTGACAACATATTCTCCAAGAACGGATTAACCCTATCTACGAGTATTATGACACGTTACTGACAGACATAGGCATGTAAAAATATCTAAGTACGGTGCAGCTTACCGACTGTAGCGCTGCGTTCATGAAGCAAGTATTGCCGAGGTTGTGAAGACCAGTGGCGCCCGGCAAGTTGGGCGCGATCAGCGTCTCGCGCCGCTCGGTCGCGCGGGACCCACTGGGGAATAAACACGATATTATAGGATAGTGTAGACATACGAGTAGTGCGGCGTGGCCAGTAGGCCTAGGATGCGCGCCGTGATAAGCTTTTTTCACGCCGTTTTATCGATAAGCCCATACATTTTTCATTTAAAATCATCGGTAAAATTTTAACACAGCGCGTATCTTAGCCCAGAAAGGCCGAATTAACTTGATGGTTACTCTACCCAGTTGCCTAGAGGCTCCACACTAACCTTTTTTGAAAATGAAAATGGCCCCCATTTTGAAACCGTAACCTGTAAACGGGTGAAGGGCCCTGAGGCAATCCTCAGCCTATGGGTCCCGACAGGGTAAATCCAACCCGCATACTTACATACGCGCTTGAGATGTGCGTTGTGTTTGTTTAAATCCTCCATAGAGAAGTTCACATCAAGCAATAGACTGCAGCCGAGGTTACAGTGGGTGAAGACTGCGAGTGGTGGAGATTGAGAATGGGCGCAGTCTGCGCGTGGCTGCAAAGTGCAGGTGGGGTAGACTGCAAGTAGGTGCAAACTGGGTCAGGGGCAGCCTGTGAATGGCATCGGGGCAGCCTGTGAACGGTATCAGGCCAACGGGTGTAGCAGGCGGCGGCGGCGGGGCCTGTGTGACTCACGTGAGCGCCGTGATCTCCTCGGGCCAGGTGAGGGCGGGGCCTGTGAGACTCACGTGAGCGCCGTGATCTCCTCGGGCCAGGTGAGGGCGGGGCCTGTGAGACTCACGTGAGCGCCGTGATCTCCTCGGGCCAGGTGAGGGCGGGGCCTGTGAGACTCACGTGAGCGCCGTAATCTCCTCGGGCCAGGTGAGGTCGGGGTTGCGCAGCTCGAGCAGCAGGCGGCGCGCGTCCAGGCGCAGCTCGTGCAGCGCGGGCCGCTCGTCGTCCAGCAGCACAGCATTGGCTCCGAGCGCCCACAGGCGGACGTCTTCCCGAGCGAGCCCCAGCGCTGCGCACAGGAACTCGCTCACCTGCAAACCAATGTAATGCTTACAGGACTGTTCTTAGTGCTGCAACTTCTGAAGTGCAATCTTCGCAAGAAAACTGCAATTCCGCGTACACTATTAACGCGCGGTTTTGGTGTGGCCATGGGCTACAACTCCTGGACAGCCAAGCTTAGTTTTTCTATCAATGACGGCCACATTCGTCCTAGATGACCTGTGCAAGCAAATTATCTAATTCGATTTCTTTTTAGGAGAAATTCAGTTCTCTTTTTTGAATTCTAGAACGGCATACGGAAAGAAGATGACTACTGTACAGAAATTTTAGCTAAAAAGTACTAAAAAATGGTGTAAACTGATTAACCTGTAAGTTCACAAGAGTATAAGTAAAGCCTGACCTGCTTGACGGTGGCCAGGCGGGAGAAGGCGGCGGTGTAGGCCAGGGTCCGCTCGGGCGCAGCGGGCGCCACGCCGGCGTAGGCGCCGCCCGCCACGCCGCCCGTGCCCACCACGCTCAACGCTCCTGACGACAACGGACGACACGTTAGCGGCACGCACACAAAGATACACGGATGAAACGTAATGGGAACTATCCTCACTGGATATTGCGGTTTTTAAGCAAGCGTACCGGAAAACGCAGCGTGGGACGTCCACCTACAAGGTGGACCGACGACATCGTAAAGGTAGCAGGGAAGCGCTGGACGCAGGCCGCATGGAAAGCATTGGGGGAGGCCTATGTTCAGCAGTGGACGTCCTGTGGCTGAAATGATGATGATGATGATTGTCCAACCGTGCGATGTGGAAGTCACTGGGGGAGGCCTATGTTCAGCAGTGGACGTCCTGTGGCTGAAATGATGATGATGATGATTGTCCAACCGTGCGATGTGGAAGTCACTGGGGGAGGCCTATGTTCAGCAGTGGACGTCCNTACAGAAATTATAGCTAAAAAGTACTAAAAAATGGTGTAAACTGATTAACCTGTAAGTTCACAAGAGTATAAGTAAAGCCTGACCTGCTTGACGGTGGCCAGGCGGGAGAAGGCGGCGGTGTAGGCGAGGGTCCGCTCGGGCGCGGCGGGCGCCACGCCGGCGTAGGCGCCGCCCGCCACGCCACCCGTGCCCACCACGCTCAACGCTCCTGAGGACAACGGACGAATACGTCAGCGGCACGCCCACAAAGATACACGGATGAAACGTTATGAGGGCTATCCTCACTGGATATTGCGGCTTGAACAAGCAGTCTTGTCCAACCGTGCGATGTGGAAGTCACTGGGGGAGGCCTATGTTCAGCAGTGGACGTCCTGTGGCTGAAATGATGATGATGATGAATCTTGTCTAAGACGCACTAAGACGTGTCACGCCATTACACATCCTCATGGACTACAAAAATTTGATGCGCAAACGTAGCTTACACCTATTCAAAAACATCCTAAGCTCACAGGATGCAAAACATAACATCCCCCAAAAATACAGCACTATCTAATAGATGCAGGACTCGAAGGTAAACTGTAAAGAAAATAGTGGCGATCAGAATAAATAATAAATAAATAAATAAATTCTTTATCGAATAACTTATTTGACAGTTTAAACTCTAGGCTAATCTTATGCTACAAAAGGTAAAATTATACATATGCCTGAACTAGGAAATTTATTCCTGTATCTCAGGCGAAATAAAGGCTTAACGATACTTTATTTAACTATCATTCTTCATTCATTCAGAATAGATCGATACCGGTCGCAGTGACACCAGAATAGCTGCTCAGCAAAAAAAAACGAGGGCTGTTGTTTTACCGGTCATCAATTAGCACCACTGTAAAGTTCACTGTCACTAGCTAGTGGCGAAGACAGTGGCGCCAACTGGTGAGCGCTGAAACGGTAGGAAGACTATGGCTGGTTTTAGTGTCACGCGGACTGTCAGAGCGGATCGCTCCGCACAACCGATCTGTATGAACTGCTAGGGAGCGAGCGGTTCCTCCGGACCGCATTACTCTAAAACGCTCCCTAGAAGTTCATACAGATTGGCCGTGCGGAGCGGGTCCGCACCGGACGGTCCGCGTGACACTAAAACCAGCCTATCGCATTTGCACTCATCAGGATGGCGCCACTGTAGAGTAGGGTTATCGCCAGCCTTCATTGGGTAGTTATGTGGTGTGGTTAATCTTGCGGAGAAGAATAGGGCCATCGCTCTTCGTGAATGTCGTAAAAGACGGCTAAGGGAAAATTATGGGAACATATGGATGTATGAAGAAATAATTGATAGAATAAATAGTTATAGTGTAAACTGTAAAACTTACTTTGCGTATTCGGCACGTGCCTTAAAATTTTCAGTTGTAGAGGATATAGCTCAAGTTCAACGTCTGAATTTGGTGGCCTTATGACCTGCAAATAGAACAATACTTTAAGAGAAATACATGAGACACGAAGATTACTCTAGCGTGACGTCGTGTATTCCACGCACGTGTACGTACACGACTGTAAGTGCACGAGCACAAACATTTAAGCCTTGATCACACGTACCGAGTAATCGGGCGAGACAGTGCTCTCGGCCGAGTACTCGGTGCGTATGAACATAGCGCCGAGTGATCGGCCGAGCAAAGCGACGAGACAGTAGCTCGACTCCCGTTCTACGTACTAGGCCGAGTATCCACGCTCCCGCTGCCCTGCATTGTCTCGCTCGCTCGGCAGGTCTGAATGTGCACTGTCTCGCCACTCGGCTAAATGATTGACGTCACGTCCACAGATTAGAGAAAAAGAAAAGTATCAATAGAACTGAACTGACTGTGCTAATTTCAAAACACGTGAACAGCTACTCGCTTACATCACTGTCTCGACCGAGTAAACATTTTACTGTCTCGCCCGTTTACTCGGTACGTGTGATCAAGGCTTTAGAAATAAGAAGTACGGGCCTCCGCTAAAACTCGAGTTACGAGTGCGCGCAGCGGGCGTCCGCCCGAATTTCAACGGAGGCCCTTATTCCGGTGTCCCAAGGTCTAAATTCCCCTGACCTGTCTCGGCAGCGGGTCGGGCCCGCCGTACCACAGCGCGAGCGCGCGCCACAGCGCGTCGGGCACGAGCTCGAAGTCGCGGTGCTGCGCCAGCGTCACGTCGCGTCGCAAGTGACCGCCCTCGCCCGTCAGAGTCCGGACCTGTAGCAAAAATACTAGCTGGTATCACGCGAGAAAACAAAAGAACAGAGAGAAAGTAAAAAGCCGTGACCTGTACACGTACTCGTCGCTTGTCTTTTGTTCAGAAAAGATGCAGCGCATTCACAAGAGTAGCCGCGGATCAAGGCGGCCGCTCGACCCGAGGCTCCAGGGATCCAGCTATAGAATGGTTAATTTCAAATTTCAAACTAATGTCCAGTGCTGAACAAAGGCTTCCCCTGTGCTACTCGTATCCAGGTGCTTCCCGCGACCTACGCTAGATCGTGGGTCCACCGAGTAGGAGGCCTGCCTACAATAGTTTTCCGGTCCGTGGTGGCCACTTCGCCAGTGGCGATTCTCTATTCGGAGAACTTTTCTTCATTAGGCCGTTGCGGGAAAAAAGTACACATAAAAGTCCCCCGCCCACTGTAATAAATCGATATGATATCTTTGTATACCGGGCTACCTTCAGCGTATTGGGAGCATGCAGGCGCTTTTTTATCCACGGGCCCGGGGTGCGCTACCAACAGATGCTGTATCCGCGCACCCTAGCAGCGACCCCATGGACTCCGCCTGTCTACATCACGTTGATGCGTTCTTTTCCTTACCTTGAGCGTGTTGGGCGCGAGCAGGCGCTTGTTGTCGACGGGCCCGGGGTGTGGCTCCAAGCGCTGCTGACGCCACTGCTACTGGCACTACCAACAGATGCTGTATCCGCGCACTATAGCAGCGACCCCATGGACTCTGCCTGTCTACATCACGTTGCCGCCGTGCGCAGCCTTGTGCATAGGACCTGTGTTGGTATACCAGGTTACCTTGAGCGTGTTGGGAGCGAGCAGCCGCTTGTTGTCGACGGGCCCGGGGTGTGGCTGCTGACGCCGCTGCTGCTGCCGCTATCAACAGATGCTGTATCCGCGCACTATAGTAGCAACCCCATTTTCTCTGCCNTATTTAGCTCTCATTGATCGCTACTACAAAGTTATGTCGTTACCTTTGATGGCAGCTGTCATTCTAATCAAGCTATATTGGATAGACTATAGCTGGTATCACGCGAGAAAACAAAAGAACAGAGAGAAAGTAAAAAGAGAAAGTGTCTGTCTTGTTGGTTGTCCTAATTAATTAAATAAATAAATAAATAAAAAGCCGTGACAAGTACACGTCACGTACTCGTCGCTTGTGTTTTGTTCAGAAAAGATGCAGCGCATTCATAAGAGTAGCCGCGGATCAAGGCGGCCGCTCGACCCGAGGCTGCCTCTAGTGGAGATCCAGCTATAGAACGGTTAATTTCAAATTTTAAACTAATGTCCAGTGCTGAACAAAAGCTTCCCCTGTGCTACTCGTATCCAGGTGCTTCCCGCGACTTACGCTAGATCGTGGGTCCACCGAGTAGGAGGCCTGCCTACAATCGTTTTCCGGTCCGTGGTGGCCACTTCGCCAGTGGCGATTCTCTATTCGGAGAACTTTTCTTCATTAGGCCGTTGCGGGAAAAAAGTTCACATAAAAGTCCCCCGCCCACTGTAATAAATCGATATGATATCTTTGTATACCGGGCTACCTCGGCGTATTGGGAGCAAGCAGGCGCTTTTTTATCCACGGGCCCGGGGTGCGCTACCAACAGATGCTGTATCCGCGCACTATAGCAGCGACCCCATGGACTCCGCCTGTCTATATCACGTTGTTGCGTTCTTTTCCTTACCTTGAGCGTGTTGGGCGCAAGCAGGCGCTTGTTGTCGACGGGCCCGGGGTGCGGCGGCGGGCGCTGCTGGCACTACCAACAGATACTGTATCTGCGGCGCTGCTGACGCTCTACCTGCGACAGCAGCGGCCCACCGCCGGCCTGTCAACTTCCCGTTGTTGCCTCGGACAGCTGTGCGCAACCTTGTGTTTTAGGACTAAAACCTGGTCCGTGAGCACGTAGAATCCCGTCCAATGACCCCAAGCTACCCATCCTTATCGCTCACGCGTAATTATATTGCTGTCGCGACTGTGCGACGCGCGTCCGCAGTGAGTGTGCGAGCGCGATAGCAACATAATTACGCGCGAGCGATAAGGATGGGTAGCTAGGGGTCATTGGACAAAATTCTACGTGCTCCAGGACCAGACTATACCTTGAGCGTGTTGGGCGCGAGCAGGCGCTTGTTGTCGACGGGCCCGGGATGCGGCTCCTAACGCGGCTGCACCTCAGTAGTCCCCACCGCCTGCCAACTTCTCGTTTTGCTGCTCCTGGGTGCCCGTGCGCAGTTGTCTACTATCTAAGCTTGTACACACGACAGCATATCAGGTTACCCATTTTTGTTGGAAGCTCGCCCCTATTACAACTGCACAAGAACCCACAGTGATTACGTTGACGTGTCGTCGTCTGTACTGTAGGGAATTCAACGTGTTCATATACCAGGTTACCTTCAACGTGTTGGGCGCGAGCAGCCGCTTGTTGTCGACGGGCCCGGGGTGCGGCGGCGGGCGGGCGGCGGCGGCGCTGCTGACGCCGCTGCTGCTGGCGCTGCCGACAGAGGCCGTGTCCGCGCGCCACAGGAGTGACCCCATCGACTCTGCGGAGGAGGGAGAAGTTGTTAGTTGGGCCGTATTGGTTGGGTTTGCCTTGACATATGTAACAAACAATCTGCCAGAGGCAAGCAACCACTGAAGAATAAATGTGATTCAAGTCAAACCCTATGTCAGTTCCGAAATAAGTGCCAATTAAGTTATCGTTTCCTTGAGCACACACAAAGAGCCACCTCGTAGAATTGGGAGGTGACAAAATTGTCCACCGTGCGTGTCTCGTAAAATAGTCGACATTGTCAAAACTAGAATGATTCAAAGAATAATAACAATAGTGAGGGTTGTCATTAATTACGTCGATGTCACTCACCCGTAGTTACAGGCCGCTTACCGGCCAATCTGGAAATCATTGGGGGAGATCTATGTTTAGCAGTGGACATCCAATGGCTGAAATGATGATGATGAGGATGACTCACCCGTGGAGTTGCTGGTGAA